TTGCTGAATAATATGTGACATTCATTTATAATCTATATCACCATGGCTACTTATAGATATAAGCTGTTCCTGTTATACATTTAATACTGTAAAGAAGCCATGGAAATCTTGTCAGGAAGATTGCACAAGGAATGGAGGTGGTTTAGTATCCATGGAAACAGAAGAGGAATGGGCGTTCATTAACATTCAGATTCAGAAGAGATATCATACTGAATGGTACACAAGCTTGAGAAAGGTAGATGGAGATTGGCTATGGCCCAATAATCAGAGCTTTACTATTGACAAATGGCAACCGATGGAGCCAAATGGCGATGGGAGTTGTGCTGTCATGGCGAAGAAATGGCCTTGGGAGGAACGAGGATTGTTCAATGATATCTTCTGTGCTGTGGGCCGAGAGTCCATTTGCGAATACAGTCACGGTACGTACACATTCATCATTGTCATCACCATCGTCATCATCATCACCCTCGCAAGGCAATTCAACGCCAWGCTCTCCTTTGCGTTTGGAGAGGCCAGATAATAGCAGTTATTATGGATGCATGCAAATGAGATGCAAATGAGACACCAAGCATTGTATGGGCCCGATAGCCTCACTTGTATGATTTTTAAAACAAAAGAATTTCTCATCGCGGGCTCAACTGTAATAACAGCTATTGCTCGGCTTTAATTGACGTCATTTTCTGAGTGTTTGTTGTGGAATGTTCTTCAGCTCATAAACAAGTTTATATATATATGTCAATCTTACATCGATGCCAAGATTGACTGCATGCTCTGGAGGTACCCAAGGAACAAGATCCGTCTCTGTGTTCCCTTAAAACGTTATCGTGCAATCTCTATCTCCCCAGTGGCAAGAATACTAAGTTTGTTAGCAAATTTGTTCAACGTTCTAACATGATTTAGACCCATTATAGTCTCAACTTACTTGTATGACTTGAAAACAAAAGGGTGTTTGACTATACAGAGGCCGCAACCGTAATCTGCAATCATGCTATGTTTTGTTCYCTAAAAAAGTGCAATGCGTGTTTTRTAAAAACAAATAAARGTAATTAATGTTATCTATTGCAGAAAACCCTACTTGTAATAGCAGCAAATTATTATGGTGCAACAAGGCGCTTGGCGATGATTCACCTCAACAACTTGAGACAGGTAATCCAAAAATTAAAGTTAAATTACTTTTGGTAGTCTGCAAGCAGAGATTCAAGATTCACTGACAACAACATATAACAGAAAGGAGCGAGAAGGAAGTGTTCCGCAAAGAGGATATACACCTATACACCTCAAGTAACAAGCCAAGGTTCCAGAGAACGTCGGTACTTTTAATTTCAATTGATTTATTCATGGTTCATGCAAGTGGCTATAGCTCTCCATCTGAAGCAGCCTTGCTTAGAGCAATTTGTGAAGTCAATAAATGAAAATACACCATAAATAAACTAATTACACCTAAAAGTACCGGCGTTCTCTGCAGTCTTGGCTTGTTGCTTGAGGCTTTTGGTGCGACAACGATTTCTGAAATAGGTGTATATCTGAGTTTAAGAGCTTTGAATGGATTGCAAATTAAGATCCAACCAAAGACCGACCTCTTTCGGTTCTTCTACTCCGCTTGGTCAATG